GGTAGATGGTTACTGCTCCAGACAGAAATGATGCAAGGATCGAGGGGGTCAAGAGGTTGAAATCAGCTGCAGGACAAAAATGCAAACAAAATTCAGAAATAATTTCTAATACACAGAATACTAGTCAATTCAGGAAATACCAGTTGTGCTAAAAAAAAAAAAAAGCTGAATGCTCACAAAACTAAACCAACGCATGACTTCTATTTAAGGCTGCAAGGTAGAAAATCTTGTGATGAGGCTATTAGTGGTAAATATTGTCCTGACAAAACCCACTGATCTGCTGTTTAAGACTGTTACTCATGGATGAATACTAAATTAGCAAAAAGCAAGTTCGCAATTTCACAACAATTGGAATATATTAGCCTGCAATTAAGCTACTCCAAATTCTCCTTTTTGATATGAATTTTGCACACACTTATATTGTGATAATATATCCTCAAGATTCTGTGGCGCCCTACTGTCATCAATATAAAAATGAACATATTGCTGAGACAACACATTTAATGAAGCTGCTGACATGCAAAAATCAAAGCAACTGCTACACCAAAAATGAAACACAACTCCAAAAATATATATATAAAAAAGTTTAACATAAATAGCTTGTTTGCCTGCACAAGGATCTTTGAAATCATAGGAAAAAAAAACATTTCTATTCCCTTTCAAGCCACTTTGGTTAAGTGACAAAGGACAAGATGATGCATATTTAATGTGGGACAGGAGACAGTGTTTCACTACTAGCTTTCTGTTGGACTAACATAAAAATTTTTTTAAATAAAAATCACATCTTATGCGTCATTAAAAACAATAGTTATCCTTTCCAGAAACAAAAAAAAATCATTTTTAATTAGTTGGATTTAATGTTATTTAATTGACACCTTTGACAATTAAAAAAATTTAACTGCACGTAGACCTAATGTAAAGGCGGTGAGGTAAATCATCACTGCCAGTACAAGAAATGCATTACCTAAGATCATAATTTACTAAATAAGTACATAAAGACACATGACCTGAAGCTGCCATCCCTTTAAAAAAACAAAACATGAGGTGTCTGATGGCAAAGGACAGGCTGGTCACATTGTCAATACACATGCTTGACAAAACCCAACAGGGTAAACAAGTAATAGTCAGGGCAGTTACGGTTTAAAGACCTTCCCGGTTTCTGCTTAAAGAACCGCCCCAGGCTTTTGGGTGGTTATTCCTGTCCAATACATCTACTCCTGTCGTCTGGTATCTGGAGGAACTGTCAGAAAGGGAGTTTCTCAGATAGCATGAAAACATTGTAAATCAGCAAAGTTCTGCTTGGGTGATATAATAGAACAAGATGTCAGAGGTGGTAAAGTAAAGAATTGGTGCTCTAAAAAATGCCAGGAAAGTCTAAAAGTTTAATACAAGTACACTTATTGTGACATGTGAAATATTTTCTATATTTGGAACCATGAAAGGTGAACACCCTCACTAGAAAACGGGAGCGATAACTCATTATTAGTAAAGAAATTAACAAAAAAAATACCCATGTTCATGCTTGGTAAGACACCAAGACAACAATATGGTAGTTTTTTTTCACTTGTTGAAAGAGAACTTAGTTTTTTTGTTTTTTTTTGTTTTTTTAAAATCAGTGACATTTTAAAATAATCTGAAACTGCCTAAGCTAAACTGTGACATGTAGTCTAAAGAAGGATAAAATACCATGATGAAGGAGGAGGAGGAAGAGGAAGGAGAGTAGTTACACATTTAAGAACATATGCTTTCATATGAGCTATAGTGAATAAGGACTAAGGCACACGTGCCATAATTAAGATTACATAACAGTAGGATTAAAATCTATATTACATTTCAGATAAGAACATTTCCAGTATTCGTACTCCTTGAATGTTTTTCACACTTTTGCTACGTACGATCACACACCCGAGGTGTTTTCTTAATGTGACGGATGAAAACAAAGTACCACAAAATTCTGAAGTGGAAGGAAAATGATACAATGTTTCCAATATATTTTACAACTAAAAGGTGTAGCCAGCATCTCTATTCGATCCACCTGAGTCAATGATTCATAGATCCACCCATCATGGTGATTACAGCTGCCAAGTTCTTCTGGCAGATGTCTTTGCCAGCTTTGCACATGGAAACGCAGAACTTTTTGTCCATTCCAATTTGCTTTAAAAAAAAAAAAAAAGAAAACCTCAAGCTTACTCAGACTGGATGGGAACATCAATCTACAAGTCTTGCCACAAAACCTTAGTCAGATTTAGGTCTGTACTTTGACAGGGCCGTAAAGTGCCCAGGTCTAAACCAGACTTGCCCACTTTACGGTTCCTGGTCACCATCCGGCCCTTTAGATTTTTCATTGCCTGGTTTTAAGATTTTTAAGTGGAAATTAGAAAGACAGGAATTGCTGAATCTAACGGCAAACATAAAGAGACACTATGCAAATGCATGACAATTGCAATAGTCATTCATGTTAAATGAAGATAACGATTCAGATTGTCAAAATGGTGGGACGCATCTCATCAATGAGTTACAGTCTTTACTGTAGCAAGGACATAAAAGTGATATTAGTAGTTTATTATCAAATATACACTTCAAAAAAAGGTCCAGACAATAGTTTGGCCTTCTACCATAGTGACAGATATGTCGTTGAGTCAAAATAATAAGACATTTTATTTATATCTTTAGATCTCAAGGGGCAATAATCACCCAATTCTTGTTCACTTGTAGCTCTGATTCTACATTTAGAGTCGCTGTCTGTCTTGTCACCAACTTTCATCAGCTGCCTTGTTTGGCTAAAGAAAAGCATCCCACAACATTACGCTGCCACCCCAATGCTTTAAAGTGGGGATAATGCATTTATTGTGATTTGTAATTCAATTTTCTTCTGCAGACAGTCTTCTTTTAAGTACACCATTGAGTCTAAATCTGGTCTCATCTGATCAGATAACATTCTTCCACATGTTTGCCACAAAGAGTTCCAACATTCTGCTTTTTAGTTTGTATTTATACAAAGGTTAAACACAGATTGACCATTTCCCAATTGAGTGAGGGCAATTCCTTTATATTTAGGGGAATCAGCATAAAAGGGGAAATACAAATACCTGACACACTTTTCATTTTTTGTAAAGCATTAAAAAAAAAATTTAAAGCATCTGCTTACTTTCACTTCACAGTCACATAAAATATATTGAATATTATGATTGTAACATTAAAGACGTCCAAAGGGGTGCTAATATTTTTTCCGGGCATCTTATAAGCCAGATAATGGCAACAGTGAGTGAATAACCATGGAAATAAATGCGGAAAATAATATATTAGTCAACTATAGAAAACATATCTGTAAGTTAAAGTTTTAATCAAGATGAATAACAGAGTGTCAGAAGTCATGCCTGTCTAGTTACATCACTCTCAGGGGAGTTACTCCCCCCCTCTTTCTTTTTTTATAAGAGGCACCCCTCCTCAGGCAACTCCAAGGCGCATCATAAAATGCAAAGCGACACATGTCCTCTTTCACCAGCCAAGGGTGCCAACTGTCTGCCTGATCTAAATAGAGGACACTTGCTCAGAAGAAAAAGTGATAAGCAGACTGCTGTTCATCTCACAAAAAACATAACTGAAAGTCAGAATTGCAAAACTGACATGACCTCTTGAAGAACAGGCAGGGACCTTTGATCGGGAGCCAAGTAGAAATAAGATGACTGCTTAAAGCAACCTAAAAAAAACACAACTAAGAAAGTCACTATAATAGGATAACAATAATGGCGTAAATTAAGAAGCATGTCTCTACTGATATACTTCCGAAATTTTTGACCTCAACAGGCACTGAACAGTGTAGTAACTAAAAGACCATGTCGACTTGGTATCAGGTCTCGAATTTGTATCATGCTACACAAACCTTGCTTCTCTAGTAAAACAAAAGTAAGAATTTAGATGTCTCACTAAAACACCTACCAAAGCGTGGGTGATTGCTACTAAGCTGTCGTGGACAGACAGACACACACCGGCCAAGGCACAATCGTCCACCATTACGCCTCCATAAAGTCTCTTCACGCTTGAGCTAATCTGACAAAGTTATGAGATCAATGGTTTCTGGAAGCGCAAGAGAATAAATCTACAATTAGGAGAAACCGCAGACTTATAAATGCCTGCTGACAACAATAGTAATACTGTTTAAAAACTTAAGTGACGCTACTTAAGCCTCGGAAGAGCGGATGCCTGTGTTGAACTAACCCATCAACAACAACAAGCTATCGGATGCTAACGTTAACTTGGCTTCCCAACAACAACCTGTCCATATGTCCGGCTACAAAACCAGAGGCTACATAAATCCAGCTACCAGTCCACAATGGTCCTTGGCGGTTAGTTGTGATACCAGGTGTAAACCAGGAGCTTGTGCCCCTTTAAGAAGTGATAATACATATCATACACTTTAGTCTGGGTGTTTCTACACCTCCAAATAGCGATACACGAAAGAGACAATGAAACCGACCCCGTTTCGGAGAGCGACGGGGTAGTACAAGACGAGCTAACATGCAAGCTAAGTTAGCCTGCTAACGCTAATTCTCTGGTCTGCACAAACAGTCCCTGGATGTGTTCACGAATAATTGAGCGTTAATTACACAGAGAAATGTCATTTTTGGCTAAATCATTTTTGGCTTCAAATTAGCAAATGCAGTAATTAACTTTCATTATGTACTAATGCCGGTGCAGGACGAAACAAGTTTGATAGGAAAAGTTTGTTTTATTTTGCTCCACTTTTGAGGCTTTGCTCCTGGCAGTCCTTCCTCGGTAGGTGTGTGTGTGTGTGTGAATGTGTGTGTGTGTGTGGAGCCCAACAACACACAAACTGTTACCTTGCACGTTAGCGGAGATCAAGCTATGCTAGCTAGCTTAACTTGCGTTAGCCGAGCTAACACCGACAGAAAAAAACTTCCGTCACCGTCACGTTTTAATTGGAAATTATGATCTCGAATGAGATTACAGGACAACGAAATAAAGTTTCACGAACTTACGGAGTATATAGGAGGAGCCGGGTCGAGTTCCCCCGCGATTTTCACTTGTTTGGCGTCAGTATTTAGCTGGCTTTGGCGTAAAAAAATCCCGGGGATCCCCTCTCTTCTGTCCGCTGCCACTCCGGTTGCCAGATAATGTAATGAGCCACCACAGGCGGCGTCATGCTGCGTTCATACACACCTCGGAAATGATAAGTGCTGCGATGGAAGGAAAAAAGATATGTTCTGGAACGACTTCACGGAAGTGACTGAGGAGTAGGACTAATACATTTTTTGCGAATGCTTTGACTTTGGAGTTTGATATATTACACGCATGTTCATTTTTAATGTGCATCTTCTATGCATAAATAAAATAGCTTCCGCTGTTAGTAATTAATTGAGTCCCATAATCTATTTACAGTTTTGACACAGGATAATTCGTCCCGGTCAACAGGTAGCCTATTTAATGTTACGCCTCTTCATTGTATAAAAGATAAAAGAATATATATTTTTAACTCGAATCATGTACTGTCTTTGCAAGAGCTCATTCAATAAAGTTCATGTTTTTTAATGAATATATTCATTTATTTAGAAATGTCTGCGTGAAAGAAAGCTGCACAAACCATATACAGTTTAAAAAGTTTGTCCCTGTTCTGCTGTGACATAAACCAGATAATGCAATAAGGAATCAGTTTCCGTCTTGTGTTCATTTCTGCTTGAAGGCATCTAAAGGCATGCATTTGAACTGCACCTTTACAAGATATAGTTCTTTGGAAAAGCACACAACCTTTTCACATTTTGTCATGTTGAAATCATAGAAATGTCTATTTTAATGATTTTAATGCACAGTAGTGCAGGGAATAATCGAGTGGACAAAACATGTCACATTGTTTCCAGTTGTTTTTACAACGAACTGAAAAAGTATTTCATGCATTTTTTTTCCCCCCCCCCCCCCCCCCCCACCTCCAAGTCAGCACTTTGCAATAAAAGCTGTAAGTCTTTTGGGGGCATGTCTACCAGCTATGCACATGTAAAGGCCAATGTTTTCAGATTTTTTTCTTCACGGGAAATTGTTCATTGTCAGAGTTATGCTTAAAGAGTACCTGCGAATCGCAATTTTCAAGTTGCCACACGTTCTCAGGAATATCTAGCTGTCCTCTTTGACTTGGTAATTCAAACTCATGAATATGCTTTCTATTGAAGCTCGGGCTGTATGTTTTATGTCCCATGTTCTCCAGAACTGTCTTCTAGACCAATAAAGCTACTTTTCCACTATAACATACCAGACCTGTCTCTAGTTGTTTTTTCCAGGTACGAGTACTTGGTAGTAGATCTTTTCTTAGCCTCTACTCAGTAAGGGCTCCAAGTGAGCTGAAGATGTGACTTCAAAAAGTTGATGGTCACTGACTGGCTTGAGCCGTGGTGTCCAAAGTCAGTCTTCAAGGGTTGGTAAATGTTTTAGTTCATGTCCTTGTTCAACATGCACAGAACAAATGATGGATCACAAGCAGCCCTTTGTAACATTATGAGGATGCAGTTGGACTATTTATGCCAGTTTTGTTGACGCAGGCAAACTGGCAGGAAACTGGTCACTGAGGAGCTGAAGACAATTGGCCTTGACACTTGGCCACTATGCAAGAATATTATACAATTTAAAAAAAATTACCCGTTTTTTTTTTTTTTTTAAACTTGCAAAAGGAATTGGGCATTTTCCACGCAGATCATGCTATTTTATAAAATAATGAAGAAATGGTGTCACTTTCAGTTATTATAAAAATGCTGTAAATATCAAACATGACAAAAGAAATTTGACTTCGTAATTTGACGCCTTGAAATTTGGCAACCGTCTCTTCAAGAAGCTCCTATTTCCGACACTTTGCCTTTAGCACATAGTCACAACGATGCTTCTCATTACGCTGTATACAACCATTCTTAGAAGAATTGTACTGAGAAGTAGTCCGTACGGGAAGCTCAGCAGACTTGCAGTTCCACCAGGTGTTTGCTAATTGCTGCTGCTGCTAGTCTAGAGGAGATGAGTGGTGAAGGCGCATGGGAGAGAGTGATCTGTGAGGAGCTCCAAGGAGGATAAGTGGATATAAGCAGCTCTTATGAAAGAGAAGCTCTTATGATATGAAAGCAAGAGTTTAGACACTCCAAATAGCTTCCATGAGATATTAACATGCATGAACAAATCAAACCAAACACTCCAGGTATGTTTTTGATGAGGGAAAATCAAAAAAAGTGAATTTTTTCCACAATACTCTTGTCTTCATGGAGCTTCGCAGCAATCGCAGCCTTTCCCTTGTAAGATGGAGAGTTCAGTTTTGGTCTTATTTGACCAGAGCACCGTCTTCTATGGAAATTGTTATGGATTTTTCTTGCCAAGATCTCATAAAAGCCATGTTTGTGGACGTGGAAGTAGTGTTTGTTTTGGTGACAAAACCTAAGCTGTAGATCTCTGTAGTTCTCGCCGGTGAAACAAATCCCCCCCAGAATGCCTCACTGACAAATGCCCGACTGTCGCTTTGGGTAGACGGCTACGTCTCGGTGAAACTGCAGCTGTGGCTTACTTGTTCCATTTCAGATGATAGACCTGAACAATGTCCTGTGAGATATTCAGACTTAGCTCATTGTTTTCTAGCTCAGTCCTACTTGTTACTTCAGCAGTTCTGTCCTTGACCAGTCTGGTCTGATCCTTAGTCAAGCAGTTTTACAAAATCAAAACAATTTCAGCAAATCGACGTTCTAACCTGCCCTTTCAGCGCACACTGAAAGTATAACACATTACTGGAGTGATCACACAAATGACTAAATTTGCTGCCTCATTCAAATGCTGCGCATGTTCAATCAATATGATTGACTGAGCATTTATCCAATGCATACAGATTCCAGACTTCTTTGATAAGGAAGTGGGCACAAGTCACAAAAAAAAAGAAAGACATCGGAATGGAGACATCAGTCAATAAACTGACAGATTTCAATCATATTTTTATTGGAAAAAATATTGAAAACAATGTAAGAATTAAAAACAGAGGCATTGGATAAAATATGGCTAGTACTGAAGCTTAAACTGTGTGTCCACCTCTTACAGTGCTTTAAATACCAAGCATTGAGATACCTACGTAGGGTAGCTAAAATAATACGTATCACACTTTACTAAATTGAATTTATAAAATGTCACTGTACAATAAAAGGTTCGACAAGTGGCAAATTTATACAAACATACTGTGAAAAGCTCATTTAGTAGGACTATCAAGACAAATTAGAACAATAAAATAAATCTTTTTTTCCAATGTTTGGGGGGAAAAAAAATGCTGATTTGTGGAAAGAAAAAAAAAACATGAACGAGAAATACTCTATAAAGGAACTTAAACAAATACATGAGAGAAATGTGTATTTTTTTAAAGGATATTAGTGATAATATGATAAATTCTACTAGTATTTAAAATGCATCCCCTAAACACAGTGGATTGTGCCTCAAAACATATGCTGATACTTTTTATTTTTTTTTCCTCTTTTACACAGACTTTTCAAATGAATATATTGTGAAAATAAGTTACATGTCTATATTACCTACTGTGGATTTTGTGCAAAACAAAAAAAACATCAAAAATTTACGGTTCGTGCACCAGCTGAAAAAAAAAACAAAAAACAAAAAAAAAAAACTATAGTGCAGGGAGTCCACATTAGTAACTTCCACGCATGAGAGAGAAAAAACAGCTTCCATACAAAAAAAGGCAAGATGTAAAATATTTATCAACAGTTACAAAAATAGCAACATGAATAAATTAATTTCTTCTACATATTTTTTACTGCCCATATCTAACTGGATCTTTTCCAAGAAATGGAAATAGAAGATAATCCTGGCAAACTGAAATCCCTACATCTGAGGCAATGAAGCCCTTTTATACATTGCCATGTGTCCTTCCTCCCAAAAACCAACAGTCATACCCGGATCTTGTGCCCCAAGTCCATGCCGCCAGAGTGTTATTGTTTGATAACGTTAGGAAAAATTAGTAGCAGACAATCAGGAAGTAATCTTCAGAAGCAAATAAAGTGAACGTCCAACCTGTCACTTGTTAAAAATCCTTTTTTTTTAAGCTACAGTGGTGTGGATAGCAGGTTTTTTTTAGGCATCAAATTGCTGCTTGTGGTAATTTACCAGCTACAATCATGCATCAGGAGGCTCCTCATAGCAGACTTGCGAGGCTCGTGGTTGGACCATTCTGGGCTTGGATCTGAACGGGAGGGGGGCCGTCCGTCCACTGGAAGACAAACAAATTGTGCGACTGCAGCATTACAACGCGCGTCGAAAGCAAAAGAGATGCACTAACGAGGTAAATGTGCAGATTTCACGAAAGGGAAAAAAAAACACGGTGAGGCGACAACTGAAGATTATGACTTCCTCAAATCTGCTTTACGTACGCTGATGAGGTTATGCTCAGGAAGGCTGCAGGCCGCGATGTGGTCCTGCAGGAGCTGCTGGGAGAAATTCTGGTGCATCTGTGCAGCCTCGTGGGCATCGATGTTGTTTCCAAGGGCCTTGTTCAAGTCTGCAAGAATAACAGTACGGTTTCAGCCTTTCATTTTGAAGCACCAATCCACGAGGCGCAACCCTGCTGGGACTGTGCGAGGCTCGCGCTCGTCTCTCCGGGAAGCAAACAATGAAAAGTGAAGTACGGACCTTTCAACAGCGCCGAAGACCAGAGCTGCACAGACATATCAGGGATTTTGCTGGCTAGCTGCATGGCAGGTACAACCATGTTGTTGCTTTCCTAAAGGGAGCAATAATGATATAAAACAAACTTTAATTGCTGTAATAGTAATAATAATCACATATTGAACAAAAATACCAATGCTCTCAAATTTACATCGTTTCCACAGATTTAAATGTCTGCTGCTACAATCACGATTGGGAGAAGAGCTTGTAATCATGTTTAGTGAGAAGACTCCTACAAATACTGAATCATTTATTAGATATATTAATATATTCATATTGTGTCCGAGGCTTCAAGCAATTAAAATTTCATTGCCTGGAATACAGGATGTTTAAAAGGGGGAGGGGTCTCTTCCTAAGGATCATTAGATAACTGACCGCAACCACCAGAGGTTTTTTTTTTTTTTCTATCAGTTTTAGTAATTTGGGTCAGCTGGAACTTAATCCCAATTGATTGCATCCCTACGGCCAAATGAGTTTTTTTTTTTTTGTTGTTT